TCGGACGCTTAACCGACTGCGCCACCCAGGCGCCCCTTAACAAAGATATTCTGGAAAATACGAGACCCAGGATAGAGATTTGCACTTTTAGAAAGGCAGGTAACAAGCCTAACTCATGTTCTCCAGATCTGTATTTAAAAAATTTTTTTTTAATGTTTATTTATTTTTGAGAGAGAGAGAGAGAGAGAGAGAGAGGCAGAGTGTGAGCAGAGGAGTGGCAGAGAGAGAGGGAGACCCAGAATCCAAAGCAGGCTCCAGGCTCTGAGCTGTCAGCACAGAGCCTGATGCAGGGCTCCAACTCACGGACTGTGAGATCATGACCTGAGCCGAAGTGGGACGCTTAACTGACTGAGCCCCAGGCGCCCCTCCAGATCAGTATTTAACAGACAGCTCCTTATCAGGGATTGTCAGGCCCCAGCCTCAGTGGTAAGAAGGTGGTAGTTTTGTGTCCATTATACTACAGTTTGCTGTGTGTTCGACAACACCCAGGAACCTTGTGCTGAAGACAAGAGTCAGGCATTCCTGGATCTTGGGCCAAGATACCAGTATAAAGGAGCCAAAGCTTCCCTCTTTATTTCTGACCGTGCCTCCGTGCTCTCATCCACCGAGTCCCCAAGTCCCATTCTGACTGCAGACTAAATGTTATTCCTTTTTTTTATCTCCCCCCCCTTCTCCACATACCCAGCCAGTGTTGCACACAATAAGTGATCGATGTTCTACTTAAACAATGCCCAAACCTGGTGACAACTTTGGTGAACACAACACACACACACACACACACACACGCATGCACACACACACGCACACAGCATCAAAGGACAAAACCCAACCAAAAAAAAAAAAAAAAATGATGCTAAGGGAATTTGGACCTCATGCTGTCATTTCTTAAATGGCTGATTTTGGATGATTAAAATCATGAGGAGTCCAAAAGTGGAAGAATTCGTCATGTTTGACGTTGGCACATTTTAACCAATTTTAAAAATTGCTTCCGCATCAGCAATGTGGCCAATTTACATGTACTTCGGTAATGAGGAAGAAAATATGCAGACCCTGAACGTGAGAAGGAGAATAACCATGAGGGAGGGCAGGGCAGGAGCCATCTCAAAAGAAGGAGGAGGAAGAGACGGGAGCAGGGGGTGGGGGAAGAGAGGAAGGCAAATAATTTATTAAGCCGAGGAAAGAGAGAATGAATAATGAAAGAAAAGACAGGGCAGTAGATAAACATCCTCCTTATTCAAATTTAGAATGTCAGAGCAGCAGAGAAGTTTAGATCCCTGATGTATGCAAGAAGAAACTCAAGCTGAAAGGGAAACAAAAAAACCAGAGGCCACAGTCAGTGTCAGGGCTGGAGCACAGGTCTCCGTTCCCTATATCAGGCTGGTTCCACAGTATGCCATCACTTCCGGGTCACTGTGATCAACCCCACACATATAGTAGGTACATAATCGCTTACGGGATGAAAACATGTAGTACAACATGCTGACCTGGTCAGAAACCATTTCTGTTGTTGTCGGGTTACTGGTTTTTCATTTTGAAGGTGAAGGATTTTTAAATGTGTATGTTTTAATGTCCCTCCACCGTGTCTTCTATGTTTTGTCTTACCAGGTTACCCCACCCCACTCCATATCACAGCCTTCTTAGTCTCCCAAGGACCTTATTTGTTTCTCTTTTTATATCTTGTGGTAGTCACATGTACCTTCTAGTGCTCTGTCCTCTTTGATTGTCTGTCTTATCTCTAAGCACTTTGAGGTCAGGGATCTCAACTTAGCTGTGATATAGGGTCAATGGCAGTGAATTAGCAGACAAGGTTGAGAGCCAACTTTGACTTTACAAAACCTGAGGGTCAGTTTCCCCATCTGTAAAATGCTCACAAGCAGTTCCTAGACTCTCCACCTCAGAGAAGGCCTCTGAAATTCCCTTGCAATGTTGTGAACTGTTACAGCAGCATGGTTGGTTGTGCTAGAAGCGGGATGACTGCGGTGGCTGTCGATGTCTGTCTTCTGCACAGCACTTGACATCTAGCCTTACATAGGATACCACCCTGCAAATGCATGTTTGTTGAATGAACAACATAGCAATCACATTAGCATCTTCTATCTTAAATCAGCTCTTCTCCTTCCAAAATTAGCAGAATCTTCTGTTTTCTAGGGCTTTGGTGATGACAAAACTTCATTTTGTTGCTCTTTGAGCCCTTAAAACTTCTCATGAATCTTTTTGAGCCATTTAATTCTCTCCACATAGTTCTTGGACAAGAATCCTGGGCCAAGATCCTCCAGGGACCCTGAGTCTATCTGCAAGGCTAAGGCATATACACGCCCAGCCATTTGACATGCCCTATCCAAGGGGAGCCTCGCCATGATAATATAAGAGAAGCACTTTTATTAGTTTCATTTAAAGATGAGAAAATTGAGGTGTAGGATGTAAATATTTTGCCGAAGATGCTTTTTCTCTTCATATGGCAAATTATAAGACAAATGGAATACAAAACACCAACTTCTATCCCACCGTCCCTGACAACTATGTTATGTCATTTGAAGACATTGATTTGGTCAGTGAAAAAAAGGCTCAGAATCAAGAAACCATGTCTTTGTATCCTCCCTCTGAAGGCTGATTTGCAGTCACAGGAGTTGTTGAATCTCGTCATTCCATGTCTTCCCAGCCTGGCTGGACTGAATCGACAACATCCTCCTTGTCTGCCTTCGTGGAAAATCCGGTCAAGTTTTCTTGGGACGACCTTTGAAGGACTGCTCTCAGTCCAAGAGGAACAGAAAAACTCTGCTAACCAGCTCTGTTTCTCATTAGTGCTGCAACAAATTACTGCAACTTAGTGGCTTTAAAATAACACAGTTATTTTCTTGCGCTTCTGGAAGTCAGTCTAAATTCAAGATGCCAGCAAGACTGTGCTCGCTTCGGAGACTCTAGGGGACGATCTGCCTTCTTGCCTTTTCCAAGCCTTTTCTGCATCTCTTGCTTTCTTTTGTCTGCGGCCCCTTCCTTTACTTTCAAAGCATCACCCCAATGTCTGCTTCCATTGCCACGCTGGAGTCTCCTTTCTGCGGTCAGATCTCCCTCTGTCTTCCTCTTATAATGATATTTGTGATCATATTCAGGGTCCAGTTTGATAATCCAGGATAATCTTCCCATCTCAAGATCCTCGATTTCAATACATCTATAGAATCTTTTTTGCCATAAGGTAACATTCACAAGATGCAGGGATTAGGACCTGGATATTTTTAGCAGTCATCATTCAGTCTTACCACACCCACCCGGGGAGATTATCAGGAAACCTGTCTTGGCTGAGATTCTGTGTAGAAATAAAACCAAACCAACCAAACCAAAAAACAGCCTCCATGTGTCCTATTCTGCAGTGACCTAGAGTAAGAGAGTATATAACCTAATGTGATAGGAATCCCTAAGCCTCAAGATTTACATTAAAATGTTTCTGGGATCATGATACCTCTGAGGCACTCACCAAAAGCAAATGCAAAGCTTTCTCTAGAGCAATATTTTCACAACCTATATTGCATTGAAGTCACTCCCATATCGTCACGGAACATGTGTTCGTACTCAAAAATTTATCACAAAATTCACGAGAAAAGAAAGGCAAAGTAAACATGTACAATACACAGGGGGATCTGCACATCAAGAAGTCAGGATAAAGCCATCTAAATGGAGACCACGAGAAGCTTAAAATGACTAAAGACGTGCAATGAATGATCGAACTGTAAGAAAAAAAATAAGGCTCCGTGAAAAAAAAAAAAAAAAAGACTAGGCAGATTTGAGAAAGAAACAAATGTTGCTTCTAGAAACAAATATCATTGAAGTTGAAAGCTTGAGGGTTCAGAAAGCAGAGTAGACACAGCAGTAGATGGAACTTGTGCCTGGAAGACAAGATTTTAGGATATTAACAGAATGTAGTCTGCCTTTTTTTTTTTTTTTTTTTTTTTTTTTTTTTGGTCTGCCAACTTCTAATAGGGGCTCAAAGAGAAGGGAGAGAGTCAACATTCAGTGAGAAAATGTCCGAGAATTTTCCACAGTTGAAGAAAGACACAAACGCTCAGATTGGAGATTTCCAACGCATCCAGAGCAACAAGAAGAAAAAAATGAATCCGCACCTATGTACTTCGAAGTAAAACAGCAGACTGAAGAATTAATGCATTAGGAGAGGTATTCTCGTAGTCACAACTTCACATTTCTATCACACTCCAGTCACCCCTCCATTTTGATTTGCTCCCTGAACCACAGAGCTGAAAGGAAACAGGGATCATCTCACTTAAACCTTTTAGTGTATTGAGGGGAAACGGAGGCCAGAGAGGAGGCGCGGCTTTCCCAAGACCATCCCAGGAGCTCAAGTCAACAGAAATCTGGTATCGCAAACCCTAACTTAGACTCTTTCTGGGAGCTCTGAGGCTTTATCTGAGTCTCCACGGTGGTCTGAGGACAAAAGAGAGAATGCCCACAGTGGGGAAGTGACCAAAATAAACAAGGACAATCTATTAGCATTAAACACTGACTAAATGGGACCCAATATTATCCTTTATTAAGTCAAGCTGAGAAGTTGAACGCAGGAGCCGTTTTGTATGTCAGCACCATAGCAATTATGAATGGACTGATTAATAAGTAAACAAACAAATACTAGGAAATCAGGCTTCTTTTAATGCTTCAAACTCGCAATAACACCCTGCTAACATGAACTCCGAGTATTAACACTAATAACCACACTAATCATAGGGATGAAAACTCCAAATTAATTCAAATGCTGCTCAATAGACCATCACTGTGTCCTCCCTGCCTGTTCCTTTTCTATCTGTTCAGATCTCCATGCAGTAATTAAATCCATTAAAATGTAAAACTAGCTTTTGTGCTCCAGGGGAAAAATGAAAAAGGACTCTGACCAGCATCCCTGGGGATGGACCTGTGACTTCTCAGAACTTCGGTTATATCCAAATTCTTGGCTCTTTTTTTTTTTTTTTTTTTTTTTTTTTTTTCTGAAACAGCAGCTCTCCCTCACGGGGATCCAGTTGCCAGGCTGAGTCCACAGCATTTCTTATCAAAATAGAAGACGTGGCTTTATGAAGAGGATGAGCAGAGGACTAGGAGAAGCCAGGCTGACGTCCTGGCTCTGCCTCGTAAAGCTGTAAGATCTTGGTTTAATAAAACGTGTTTTTTCTCTGGACTTCATTTTCTCTATTTGTGAATTAGGAATGGTATCTGCTCTCCCAGGTGGACTGGAGGAATCAAAAGCGATGATAAAAGGTGGAGGTGCTTTGTAAAGCACATAATTCCCCAGAACGCTCCGAAGCTCACAGAAACTTGCATTTATTCTTTTGGTGAGGTGTGGGAACACAGAGCAGTGTGGCCGGACGAGGTGTATGTAGGGTTTACACTGACTTATTAAGTGATGCGTTTTAAAAGAGGATATAATCATGACGCTCTTACAGATAGAAAATGAATATATGCCGAAGATTTTATTTGCCTCAGGAATTGATGAGGAAGCCAGTGGACGTTGCAGTGAATTCAAATACAAATTCACGGGGTCACATACTTTTAGTCAAATACAGAAAGCTGAAATGAATTGACAAAGAGACGCAAAAGCGCTCACAATAATCGATCGCATCCCATTAGGCTCAATTTGCATTTCTGTGGACCGGAATTATTTGCGTTCCTGTCCATTTTCTGCAGCTTAATTTCTATCGGTACAGAGCTGTAAAACAGCTGAGTCAAAGACAAGAGGAATCAGAGCTAACCTAGGTGGATGAGCTAATCAGGACAACTACTAAATATTAAAGGCTTTCACAATTTTTCCTTACAGGCCCTTGATTGAAAGGATCTCAAACCCACTTGAAGCAATTGCTCAAATTTTGGCTTCATGACATGCCAACTGTACCAACGTTAGGTAAGGAGTGGGAAAACTCTGGGCTGGCTTCCAGGGTACCTACTCAGCTGTCCTGTATCACCAACAAATGTACTGTGTAAGACAACCTTGGTCAAGCTTCCTCTTTCAACCAAGCCTCAGTTTCCCTCTCTGAAAAATGAGCCATATTTGACCCGTTGACGCCTGGCCCACACCAGTGAGAGTGTGACTGAAAAGTGCTTTCAACAGTTGAGAGAGTTTTACCCCCCCCTAGGAGGGTATATGTATTACTCTTATTTGACCACTCTGGATAGAGGAAGTAACATCACGTGGCCCTCCAACTGCTCTCCCTCCTAAAATATACTTGTTTAGAAAGACAAACAAAATAGGAATTGTCCAAGAAAGACAATGGAAAGAGTATTTATGCCCATTATCTGTAGTGGTTAATATTATATCAACTTGGCGGATGTTTTTGGATGAGTTTTACATTTAATCAGTGAACGTTGAGTAAGCAGTTGAGAGCGTGACTAGCACAAAAAGACCAGTCTCCTGGAGCAAGAGAGAATTCTGTCAAACTACCTTCAGAGTTCGTCTGTACCATCAGCTCTTCTGGATCCTGAAACTGCTTGTCGACAGGCAGAATTTGGACTCACCAGGCTCCATAACCGTGTAAGCCAATTCCTTTTAATAAATCTGTTTCTCTGTATATACATATCGCCTTGTAGGTTCTGTTTTTCTGGAGAATTCTGACTAGTCCAGTAGCTGTTACTGAAATGGAAGTCTCTACAAAGGTAGTAGTTCGTTTTGACTCTACTCATGGGTACACCAGAAAGGCTTTGGAAGGAACCTTCCAATGAGAGCCTGGAAATCCTGGTTTCTGGGAGGGGGCCAGGCCTGGTCAGTGTCCCCTGTGGCCATGGAGGGCATCCTTGGAACCTGGCATTCCCAGTGAGAGGCTTCAGCTCTGGTTCAGAACTACCACTCCCTCTCCAGGACAGGAGTCATATCAACAGACATTGCTGGCTTTCCTATCAAAGGAGCCATGAGAAAATGTTGGGGAACTTGAGGACTGGGGGGGAAGTGAGAGAGGGAGGGTTATACCCATGTCAGAAAGCTCTGGGGAGAAGAAACAGACTCCTAAGAAAAGGCTTGTTCCTAACTTTGTTGAGACTCCAAAGGAAGACACTGCTGTGCTATCACTTACTGAGTCTGGTCAATAGATCAGGCACCGTGCAAAGTGTACTTTACATAAATTTTCATGCCTGATCATCACAACTATGCTGAATATAAAGGTATTATCCTCATTCAACAGATGTGTTCAGTGAGGGCAAGTAATGCACCCTACGTCACCCAACCCCTGGGAAAGCATAAGATAGATCCCTAAGGAAAGAGTATGGCCCAAAACCAAGGACCAGTGAGGGAGAAACTAAAGACAGCCCGTGAGCCCAGGAGCTCAGGAGAAGAGGGAGGACAGCAGGAGATTTGGGAGGGGGGTTGGGCAGGCAGTCAGCTGCCTCAGAATGGTTGGATGGGGGACAGGATCTCCATCTGCTCATTTGTACACTTTGCTGCCCATTGGTGGTCACCAGCAACATGTCACCTCCTCCTAATTAAGCCTTACTAGAGTCAGCTGAGGAAGGCGTTACGATTGGCCGGACACAGTTCACCCAGCTCCCGCACCACCCAAGACCAGAGGCCATTTACTAGTTATTGATGAGTTTCATTTGCTAACAACTGCACCCCATTTCAGAGCCGTCTGGGGAGCCACTGATGCAAGCTCACGTTTCCACACACCCAGATTTCCTGAGGGAGCACCTTGGAGATGCTAAGTGAGGCATGTGAGAGAGAATGGATTACAGGCCAAAGAGTTACCTCCATGATGCCTGGCATGAAGAATAGTACAGGGGTAGGTGTGGTTGGGACAACGGGTTGGGGACAACGGGTTGCCGGCTCGGGCGAACGGCTTCAACTTTTCTGAGCTTCTGAGAATGGAGATGTTACCACAGGCCTAATATGAGGACCGAATGAATGAGCAAATGTGAAGGGTTTTGTACACGTTAAGGCAAGGGTCAGCAGCCTTTCTCTGTGAAGGGCGGAGAGCAAATAGTTCATACTCTGCCACTGTAGTCTGAAGGCAATTGCAGACAATACATAAAAACATGGGTACAGCTGTGTTCTGATAAAACTTTGTTTGCAGATGCTGAAATTTAAACTTCCTATAATTTTCATATGCCATGAGACATTATTCCTCTTTTCATTTTCCAGCCATTTAAAGAAAATAAACAGTCTTAGCTCTAGGCCAGACAAAAAGAGAAAGCAGGGCAGATTCAGCCATGGAGCCACTGATTGCCAGCCTCTGGCTTAAAGTGCTGCGTAGATATAGACAGCACAGCAAGGGAAGGAGTTTTGCAAAACGGTCAAGAAGACCGCATTTTTTCTACATTCATGTGAGGCTTTTGGGAAGCAATTACTCGCTAGGCTTGGTGATGCTACTGTGAAGGGATTAGCAATCTGGAAAAGAGGTCCCTGTGGGCTGGGTCTACCAGGGAAGAGATTCATGCAAGGTGGGACATCGCTTTAAACTGAAGGAGTGCGACTGCCATAGCGCAAGGCCAAGATAAGAGGGCAGGGTATTTTTTTTTTTTTATAAATTTTTTTTTTCAACGTTTATTTATTTTTGGGACAGAGAGAGACAGAGCATGAACGGGGGGAGGGGCAGAGAGAGAGGGAGACACAGAATCAGAAACAGGCTCCAGGCTCTGAGCCATCAGCCCAGAGCCCGACGCGGGGCTCGAACCCATGGACCGCGAGATCGTGACCTGGCTGAAGTCGGACGCTTAACCGACTGCGCCACCCAGGCGCCCCAAGAGGGCAGGGTATTTAAGGAGGAAAGGAAGAGTAAGGACCCAGAAGAGACAAAAGGACGATTGAAAGACAACCAGAGAGAGGAACGGGGTACAGTGGGCAGCACCAACACTCCAGTCGGAGACTCCTGGCTCTTTCTGCATTCGAGATGCCTGGTAGATTGTGTGGACAAATGGAAAATCTAGAAGCGCCCAGCTCTAGGATAACTTTTCATCAGATTGAGGGACAGCAGGACATTCCAGTGGAGGTTAGTAAAAATAACTGATCGGCTGACATGACGGGAAAAAAAGAATTGAGCACACAATTGAACGTTAGGTATTCTGCAAACACGATCTCATTTGGGACCCATAATAGTGCTTTGGTGTTCTCGTTATCCCCGTTATCCCCACTTAAAGATGAGGACACTGAGAAAAGGGGAGAGAATGTTCCACTGGGCTTGAAAATCATCCTTAATAACAACAAAGATGTGTGTATTGTTTCCCAAAGACTCTCGGCAGGGACCGAGGGAAACATAGTGAGTAACAACCTTAGGACTGTGGTCAATGACCTTGAAGGTCCATGGAAGTGTGTCAATGGTGGGGTAGCCAGTGCTTCCAGGGAGGAACACAGGGTTGGTGTGCATGCAGATGATTCAAAGCCAGCCTGACTAGAGTAGCTGCAGACTTCTTACATCATCTATTGGTAAGCCCGGGAGTGGTTCACAAGAATGTTTACAGGTACCTTGCTGGGGAAGGCGTGCTCTGGCAGGACTCATAATGGCAGCATCATGGGGGTTGGAATAATTTAATAACATTTTCAGCTCTCCCGAAAGCCGTTAGATGAAAACAAAGAAGCAGGTGAGAGGAGGAAGTTGAGAGTTATTCGTGCTCTGTTAATGGGCCTTTAATCAACAGAACCCCCCACCCACCACCCACCACCAGCAGCAGCCGGTTCCTGCAATCTGGGGAGACTGTGTGCTCACAAAGCGCCCATTCAAATGCCAGGGAGGCTGGCACAAAGAAGCAATCAGACAAGCCCCGGCTTCTCCATAGTGCTACACCTGCACCTGTTCTCACAGCAGGAACTTCTTTATCAGCCTTAGAAACTTACAAAATGGAAGAGGTTGCCTCTAATCAGTTCTTTTGCATCCAGCCTTTGGGGGTAGAGATACATAAGCCAATATCAAAAGCTAATTGCCCTCTTTCCCTGGAGAACCAGTGAGCCCATGTGGGTCGGGGCAGCTACAGGTCTACCATGGGGCGTCGACATGACCGAGCCCCTTGGCCTGTGAACCAACTCCAGCTGCGAGGGTGGGAGTAGGGGCGGCAGTGATGGCTATAGCTGGAACCAGGGGGATGGGAGCTGCATTAGCATCCTCCCCACCACTGTCGGGGAGAATGCATGAGTTGGCTCGTCAGGTGCGGAAGGAGGATGAATGCTGTTTTGATTGCTATAATTGCGGCAAATTGGACGCTTGAGAGTGCCTCTTTAACAAGAAGAATCTCATGGATGAGACTTAGGGAAGAGGCCCCTCTTCGGATCCCTCTCCTTTGTCCCATGTGTATGAGATAATTCCCCAGCCGTTATGGATTATGAATGAGCTGCTAATTTTAGTTGTGCAAGCCAAACAAAGACCCTGGTTGGTAGATCCGGAAGGTGATTCATCTGATATGAGGTTTGTATAGTGGAAGTTAAAGGTCCTGATAGGCACCCCTGATTATTTCAAACTTTCCATCCAAAGAGCTGGAGAATTCCTTGAGTGACCGTGTCAGCACTGGCAACCAAACATGAACTCCAGTACCTTCTTTTCTGCTCAGGGTCTTTCCGTCTTGGCAGTGCTGGGTGTTTTGAGTGGGAGTGTCCTCTTTTCGTTCTTCTTGATTGGAAAGGATCACAAAGGCGACAGTGAAGCCAAAGTCAGTGAAAGACCCAAAGTAAAAGCCACAGAGACTCCACAAAAACCAAGTCCAGTGGTCTTTGAAAGCCTCTGGGAGAACAAAAAGGAGGTGAGAGGATTTGGGAACCCGAGTGGAATAGTTCAGGAACTTTTGAAGAAAGTTGAGGGTGACTGGAGGGTCCTGCTTCCTTTGACTTCTTTATTGTTTGTGAGTGGTTCTGGGCTTGTGGGACTGAGTGCTGCAGGTTTGGTCCTTTTTTTTTTTTTTTTAAGTCCCCCATAATAGCCAAGAGAGTATTATACTCTACTTAGCTGGCTTTACTTACTTGCTCTTTCCCTTCAGAAACTAACTCTATTTTGTTCGGCCTTAAGGTGACCAACTTACCCCCATTTGCCAGAGACTTTCCAGTTTCAGCACTGGAAGTCCTGCATCCTGGGAAACCCTCAGTTCCAGAAAACCCATAAACCCTACCTTCCCAGGGTGGAGTACCGAGGGATTAGAGCGCAGAAGTAAGAGTTGGACATGATGAATTTTGGCTATTAGGAAAAAGGCCCGGACATTATCCTGATAACCCACTTTCCATCAAGCTCTATCCAAACGCGGCCACTGTCCCTCTTTTGCAGCATGTGTCTCTCTAGCCTTTATCGTACTTACTGATGCAGTTGTCTTCCCTGTGAGCAGGTTGAGAGTAAGGACTCCTACCTGCCCAGGGGCCGAGTATCTGACACCTAGAAGGTCCTCGGTTAATGTATTATTGAAGTAGATCCATCACCCCTTGGGGCTTCTGTCTGTGGGTCCAGAGACCATTCAGATGGATACCCTCTTAAGATCATTGTGATAACCAGGAGGCTTGAATAGCATGAACAGAAAACAATAGGTCCAGCCCCTTGTCAATCTTCTCCTACAAATTTGTTGCGTGACTTCGAATAAATTACTTTCCCTCTCTGTTGCAGTGTTCTGATGGCGGT